AAAAAAAAAAATATCTTATGAAAAATAATTTTATGTAGATCATAATAAATTAATTAACTTGCCTGCAACTCAGTTGTGACAGGGTACTCATCCATGTCCACATAGTTCTTGTTAATGGAGGCCATGATGAGCTTATCGCACTCGGGCTCCATCCACGTCGTCACGAACGACGCCAAGTTCAGCCTCGGATTCCCGTCGAGCATAAGCTCGTCGTTTATGATTTGGTAAGCCGCCTCTTTCGGTATCGAGTTCTCCGGGATCTTAAACCTACAAAACATCGATAGATTATAATGCACGATAAAACCTAGTAAACTCTCCCTATACAAACAAAAATCAAAGAAATCGAGCATAAAAGTATTTCGATTTCGATAAAGAAATCGAAGATCATGATATATCAGTTACCTAGGGAGAGAATCGCGAACGTAGCGCGATGCGAAAGTCGAGTGGACCGAGACATCGGACTGCGAGGCGATCTTGGACAAAACCATATTTTTTTTTTTTTATGAAGAAGCTTTATGAAGTGATATTTTTTTTGGGTGTTCTTGAAGAGAAGTATTGAATGAATTGATGATGTTTGGACAAGGTGTTGTGTGGAGTATATATATAGGGCTTGGAAAGTGGAATTTGGCGTTTATACAATTCAAATTGGGACATCTAAAATGATCACATGCAAGAAAGGAACATGTGGCATTAATTGATTGGCCAAGTTGTGGAGTGTGGGACCCACCGAGGCTCTTTGACGCGTCAATCTATGCGTTCCTAAAGCTATATAATACGCGTTGAAGTTTTCTAGTATAATATGGAAATTATTTGTTCAAAGATAGAGAACATAATGGTTCAAAATTTATGTTAGATTTGGGCCTTGTTTGGTAATCAGCGGTTAGCTGTTAGCGGATTGTATTAGCTGCTTTGACCAGCGGATTGTATTTACTGTTTTGACCAGCTGATTATGTTAGCGGTTTGTAAAAGATTGTTTGGTAAAATTAGTTATTTTAATCAGCTGTTAACATGTAAAATTACTAATAAGGACATATGTTAAAT